CGGGGCACCACGGTGGACCACCGATCTGTGGAGAGGGTGGGAGATGGACCAAGACCACTTGTGGCTGCTCGCCAGGCCCCCAGATCTGCTCCTGGGGCTCATCAGAGGCTGCAAGGAGCATCCTGAGGGATGTCCTAACCCCCAAATCTGCTCCTGGGGGTAATCAGAGGCTGCCAGCAGCATCCTGAGGGATGTCCCAGCCCCCAGGTCTGCTCCTGGGGCTCATCAGATGCTGCAAGGAGCATCCTGAGGGATGTCCCAGCCACCAAATCTACTCTTGGGGCTCATCAGAGGCTACAAGCAGCATCCTGAGGGATGTCCTAACCCCCAAATCTGCTCCTGGGGGTAATCAGAGGCTGCCAGCAGCATCCTGAGGGATGTCCCAGCCCACAGAGGGGTGCTCACCTCTCCGCAGCCGGCCCACAGTGTGGGAGAAGCCGTAGTACTGGTACGTGTCGCTCTTGCCCGGGTCCTCGCTGATGATGCCCAGGTTCTGGTTCCAGTGGGACCAGTTCACCTCATCCACCCTGTGGGGAGGTGAAACCCACAGGGGCTGCATGGGAGCTGGGGCAGGACCTCCAGCACCCACCAGCAATGCCAGCTGCCTCCAGACCACTACAAAGCAGCCAGCAAATGAGTGCTGCACGGTGCCAGCCCCCCAAAAATGCTGCTGGGAGAGGCTCAGCTGCTGCCCAGCCCCCGAGGGTGCCCACCTTTACCTGAAGCACCAGCGGCGGTCAGGGGTCCCGTCCGTGCCCTTCCCCACAGTGACCATCTCCCCCGAGCGGAAAGCTTTCCTCAGGAACACCGGGAAGGAGCGCTCGATGTCCAGGATGGTGGTGGCCCACTGCCAGAGACACCAGGGACTGCCTGAGCATGGAGCAGCCTCTCCCATGGACCTCAATGCTGCAGCTCCCCAGGCACAGCTCCTGGAGCTGCCACGCCCAGATGTGGTGGTACCTGCAGCTTCCAGATGTGCTTGCTCTCCTTGGAGACTTGGCCCACGGTCTCGCCCATGAGGGCGATAAGCATGTTGAGCAGGAGCACGAAGGTGAGGATGATGTAGGTGACGAGGAGGATGATGAAGACGCCGGGGTATTTGGCGCTTTCGAGCATCTCCAGGTCGCCCATGCCGATGGTGAGCTTGAAGAGGTCGAGCAGGAAGGTGCTGAAGGTCTGGCTGTCCCGGCACGAGGGGTAGGTGGGCACTGTGCAGTTGGACTTCTCACTGCAGGACTCACTGCTGGGACACGGGTTGAGGAGGGACACCAGGGCTGGGGGAGAAGGGACAGTGAGTTCACAGGGGCAATGACAAGGACAGGATCCACAATGGGCCCCAGCATGGCTCCATGCTGGCTGAGACCTTCCCCACCATGGCAGGAGGCAAAGGCTGAGCCTGTGGGCAGGTGGGATAGAGCTGGGGGTCTGCAGCCCCCTGTCCAGCCGGGCTGAGCCACAGGGCTTGTCCCTCCCCTGGTTACCTGATGCATAGCCAATCATGAAGAGCAGGTAGACCAGCAGGAAGCGGAACAAGTCTTTGAAGAGGATCTGAAAGGGACGGAGAGCAGGGTGAGGTGTGCTGGACCACGGCATCATCACCAAGCTGTGCCACTGGCACAACTGCCCTGCTCCCAGCCCAGTGGAGAGCCACAGGAACCCTTCACAAAGCCTGCAGGGACCTCTTGAGGCTGTAATTCCACAAGAGCATCACCCCTGAAGAAGGACAAGACCCCACCAGACCTTCTGGATCATGATGCTGTAGGTCCCTGTCAGCTTGAGGCCACGGGTGAAGTACAGGGCGTTCATCCAGCCCAGGACCAGGGCAAAGACCATGACAGCCAGGTAGGCCTCGATGCCCCCCAGGTACAGCCCTGCCGTGACAATCACCAGCACCGAGTAGATGAAGCTGCAGGAGAGCTGGGGTCAGACCCTGCAGCCACGAGCCTGCGGGGGTTACAGTGGCTCAGGGTGGCCCTGGGGGTTCCCCACGTACTAGAGCAGCTGGAAGGAGCCATCTATGAAGAAGGAGTTCACACCTGGGCACTTCTTCATGAACAGGTCTTTAATCTGTGGGAGAGAGGAAGAGTGGAGGGTCTCGAGGGGCAGAGTCCCCATGACTGGGGCCACTTTGGCAGGGGTGGGTGCCTCAGCTGATGAGGCTGTCACCCCTGGAGACCCCAAAGAGGTGCCAGGGGAGGACCCCCTGCCTTGCCACACTGACATTTGTGCAGAAGAAGAGGATTCCAGTGAGGAGGGTGATGATCTCCCCGGCCAGGCGCAGGTAGTCGGCGGTGCTGGTGTAGGGGTAGGGCGGCTGTGGGGAGAGGACAGAGAACAGAGCTGAGCTGCTGCCCCATCCCCTGGGACAAAGCCCTGCCAGACCCCCCTGCCAGGCAGGGCTGTGCCCGCCTGGGGACTCACAGGGCCTTCCATGGGGCGGTAGTAGGCGACGAGGGTGAAGATGATCATGGCGCTGAGATAGGAGACCACGCTGATGTAGAAGGAGACAGCCCCAAACTTGCGCCACTTGTCCCTCAGCAGCTCGTTGATGGGCTCCACAGCCAGCATCTCGTGGCGGTTCTGGTGGGACATGGGTGCTGGTGGAGGGGACAGGGCCACCCAGTGCCCCCCAGACCCCTCCCAGTCCCCCCAGCCCTGCACACCTCGATCTTGCTGTTGTAGACGAGGATCTCCAGCACGGACACCTCCTCCCCACAGGTGTCCAGCGAGGAGAGGTCGTACAGGGAGGAGTAGACAGGGCCATAGGCCCAGTCCTTGAACTTCCTGGAGAGGTGCCGGGCATCCTCATCCGTGATTTCCCTCCGGATGATGTGCTGGAAGATCTGCCAGAGGGAGGGGTGGAGGAAGGACTGCTACCCACAGACCTGGCCCCACTCTGCTCTCCTCCCACCCCATCCTGGGTGCATCCCCAACCCCCTCCCTGCACCCCAGTGGGCTCAGGGTGCTCCCAGGTGCTCCTGGGGTGATGCAGGCACTGTCAGAGCCCTGCAGGATGCTGCAGCTTTTGGTGACTCCCCTGTCTGCCCCCGCAGAGGCCAAGGGCAGGCCAGGGGAAAAGATGGACTGGTGAGGGTCTGGAGTTAATTGGGAAAGGGCCAGAACGCAAAGGGGTGTTAATTAGCCGGGTTAATAGGGCTGCACATCCAGGTTTCCATCAGCATCTGCAGAGAGAAGTCGTGCATGCACTGAGTGTGATGGGGCTCAGCAGCGACAGCAGGGAGACGTCCCCAAGACGGAGGGGACACCATACCCCGATCTTGCCGGTCTTGGCTGCCATCATGAGCGGGGAGAGGCCGTCGTTGTTGAGCAGCGCCTCCAGGTTGGTGTCGGGGAAGAGCTTGGCGCACTTGACGAGCAGCAGGTCGTACATCTTGGTGACAAACTTGGTGTTCTCNCCGTGCTTCAGCTGTACCAGCGGGACTTGCTGGAATTGCCAGCCCTGAACCCCTGTGAGCCTCGGCGGGGTTTGGGATGCTGAGCACTCCCGTATCCTGACCCAGCTCTGTGTTCCCAGTTTGCTGAGCCGCCGCTGCAGGAGCACTGGAACCAAAACAACGCGGAGCTCCGAGAGGTGATGTTGCTTTCTCTTGAGTCCCTGCTGCCTTGTGTTTATTAAATGGGTTATTAACTTGAAAGGCATCATATCTCTACTGTGGTCACTCATCTTGCATCACAGCAACTGCCTCAAGTTCTGATAAATGAAAGGCAAAGAAGTGAAAGGGTTTAAGTTTAAACAGTTTTAAGAAGTTCTATCAAAGCTGTATTTTTAAATGTCAGAAATCTGTTTAGACTCTGAACAAATTTTTAGAGCTCATAATATAAATATCTTAGGCACATAAAATAAAAATAATATAAAAAATGTAAATCTTAATATCTCAGCTACCTGCCATGCTGTGGTGCTTCCTCATTCTTTATTCCACCCATGTGCTGCTGCAACAGTATCACTGTCCTGTGTCACTGTCACTGTGGTGTTTCCCATGTGACAATGACCCTCAGGACCTGGTGGGCACCTTGGACACTCAGATGAGCCCACATCTGCAGAGGCAGATCCTCCGGGATTTCAGGTGCTGCTCCAGAGAGTCTGGAAGGTCCTGGGGGACAGAACCTCTGGCACTGATGGCCCTGTTACATCTTGTTACATGTTGTGTCTCCAGGCAGAGTCTGAGCTGCACAAGAAGCACGTGGGGAAGGCTTGGGATGATCAGCTAACACAACAAAACAAGGTATGTGGGCAGCCCTGGTGTTGTGGTCACTGGGAGGACTCTGAAATGTGTGTGGGTGGAGGGTGACACGGGAGCTGCTGCCAGGAAGGGCACTAACAGCTTGCAGGAGTCTGCTCTGTGGATTTTCTGGGCCAGAAGCTGTTTCTTTATGTCAGGCTAACCTGAAATGCTGTTTTCTTTTATTTGAGAAAGGAAGAGGTGACCAAACTTGAAGAGAAAAAATGTTATGAAAACGAGTATGAAACGGCACGAGGGGAAGCGCTGGAAAGAACAAGCCAAGAGGAAGAGAAGCCTCAGCTGGAGAAAACCTTGCTTCAGCAGATAGAGGAACTGAAACTGCAGGAGACAAAGGTAATCTTGACTTTCTCCTCACTGGAGAAAGGAATTTGTTGCTTCACTTGGAAATACAGCAAGGCTGACCTGACCTCTTCTCTGCATGTTTGCACTGCAGGGAGGGTTTTCCCTGCCTGCAGAGGAGCAGAGCAGGGTACAAACTCTGGTCAAGCATGCTCTCTGGGATGTTGTACTCTCTCTTGGTGCTTGTGTTTTCCTTTTTAGGCAACAAAGCTGAAAAAGGAACAAGAGAATTTATTAAAGCAGCAGTGGGAGCTGGAGAATTTGGAAGAAGAAAGGAAACGAATGGAAGAGCAGCGGAGGAAGAGCGAGCTTGGGTAGGACATCAAGTGGAGCTTGTTCTGGATAGAGTCTGTTCCTGTGCCCACAGCAGTACTTGGGGCACCAGAAGATATTCCAGGTAGCAGTGGCAGGATGTAAATATCTGAGTTTTGGTGGACTTGCCCACAGCAGGCAAGGAGCAGAGGCACTGGTGCTGTTACTGCTTTTTGTTTCTGGTAGCAGGTTCCTCATTGTCACAGATGTACCTCCCCAGCTGCTGCTGTACAATGATGTGGTGCTTTAGAGTCAGTGTGATACTGTTCTTTTTTTTAAATTTTGCTTTTTTTCCTCCTTCAGTCGCTTTCTGAAGCATCAGTGTGATGTCCAGCTAAGGAGACGAGCGCAGCAGGTACAGGAGGAGCTGGTAAGAGATTCATTTGTACTTTCTAGATGCTGTGTGGTGAAAAAACTTGTTGTGTGTGGTTTGTGTCTGCCTCTGATTCCTACAGATCAGGGAGCCCCTTCCAGCTTGTGCACAGGGCAGGAGCACAAAGCTCACGGGGAAGCAGCAGATGTAGTGAGCACACCCTTGACACTGTCAGCAGTAATGCCTAGAGGAGCCCTGCACACAGGCTGGGAGGCTCTTGGATAATTAATCCCGTGGTTTTTTCTCCAGGAGACAGACAGGCAAATCTTATCAGCCCTCCTGGAGAAAGAGGAGGAGGATCAGAGCTGGCAGAGCCCACGGCAGGGACGGGCAGTGGCAGACGTGGCCTGGATGAAGAAGGTCATTGAGGAACAGCTCCAGCTGGAAAAGGAGAGGGAAGCAGAGCTTGAGACTATCTTCAGGTGAGTCTGTCCACCTCTGAGCCTCACCTGAAGACTCCATGTGTGCTGGATGTTCCAGGTCAGGGGGTCTCTGAGAGGCACAGGTGGGATGGACACACCAAAAGGCACAGGACAAAACAAACCCAAGGTCTCCTCTAAAGCACAGGATGGCTTGTCTGTGCCTGTGGAGTCTACAGGGGGGTTAACCTCAGAGATAATTCCTCCTCTCTCCTTTAGGGAAGAAGCAAAAAAAATATGGGAGAAGAGGGAAGAAGAATGGGAAAGAGAGAAGGGGGCCAGAGATCGCCTGATGAGTGAGGTGATGACCTCTGTTGATGATGTGTCCCCCTTGGCTCAATGGAACCATCATTCCACTTGTAGCCCACCACATTCTGGAGAGCTAGAGCCTTCCATACCAGGGTGGAATTTGTTTGCTTGTCTGGTGTTTCCTGGGAGCTGTGTAACCATCCCCTCCCTTTGCACAGGTCCTTGCAGGCAGGCAGCGCCAGATCCAAGAGAAGATGGAGCTAAACAGGAGGGCCCAAGCAGAATCCATTAAATATCGAGAGCAGCTGATCAAAGAACTCGAGGAGGCCAAGGAAGGGACTCATCGGGACAAGGAGCAGGAGGAGCAGCAGCAGAGAGCCCACAGGAGGGAGCTGCAGGCACAGGTAGGCTGAGCTCCCCAGTGCACACCTGGCTGCTGAGGCTGCCCCACCTCACCCGATCCCCCCTGCACAGGGCACAGAGCACAGCTTGGGACAGGAGGAGCAGCAGGAGGGATCAGCCCAGCAGCACCTGGAGGCCAAGCAGGGCTGGCACAGCAGGGTAAGGTCACAGCAGGGTCACCCTGGCACAGGGGTCACCCCAACACATGAGCCCATCTTGGAAGCATCCTTGTCTCTGATCTGCTTTAGTCGTCCTAGTGCTAGGGCACAACACTGGGCTGTTTCTTCCCCTCACAGAGCTCTACACTTCTCTCTTTTCTTTTTTTGCTGATATATAAATATTAGGCCTTAATTTTTAAAGAAGTTTTGAGGTAGATGTGTTGCTAATGCCTCAAATGTTGCTCAGTGCTGAAAGGGATTTATTGGCTGCATTAGTGCAGTTGGTACAGTGCAAGTCCCCTGCTCAGTGTTTTTGTTGACTGCCCTGCTTTGCTGGCTCTAAAATCAAATGTGAGTAACCCTACCTAAAGCCCCTGCCCAGCCCATCAGCTTCTGTGCACCCTCAAGAGTTTGTAGATTAATTCCAGAGCCCATAAACGTGTGCTGATCTCTGTTTTGACCCCATTAGTTCTACAGTTACCCAAGAGCAGCCTGGACCTGAGGAATGAGCATGAGATGCAGCTCCAGACTACAGAGAGAAAACTCTGAGGACTCAAGGAACTCCTGAAATAATGGTGCTTCTGGAATAGCCTACAGTGAGATCAAGACTTGACTCAGTAGATTTCTGAAAACATTAGTTGTGGCCAAAATGAAGAGAAGTGAAGAAGTGAACTGCTTCACTTTGCATTCTGGAGTTCTGCTCATGTATTTCAGTACATGAGAGGCTGAAGCAACCCAGCAAATTCAAGGGCCCTGTGGACCTGAGCCACCAAAGAATCTGTGTCTCCCCAGGAAGAGGAGCTGTGGGGCTGTGCCAGACTCCCACTTTGCAGAATCAGGCTGTGCCTGGGTACTCATTGGACTGTGAGGAGTTAATTAATAATGTACATTGCTAATCAGCCAGATCATGTGTGCTGGGGCAGCAGTGCTTGTCCACTTCCTCTCCAGAAGGTGCTGGAGACTTAACCATTGTTTTTCACTTGTTTCATAAATAATGAATAATTGAAACCTGAACAAGGATTTGGTTTTGTTACATGAGCAAACTACAGCAGCAACAGGAGAGGAGATTGAGTTGATTATTGCAGTTCATTCCTTGCTCTTACCATCCACAACTGCAGACTGACATCAGTCCTGTCACAGTGCACAAGGAGCTGTTACAAAAACTGGCAGCACTTTCCCCAAGAGTAGAAACCTTTCCAGAGATCTTTAGAGAACCAGCAGTCAAATAAGCCCACATTATTTCACACACTGAAAGGGTTTTAGCATTTTATAGTAATACTGTAAACAAAAGATTAAAAGTCAAAATATTGTACAGACAGAATGACACTGATAAATACAAGGTTTGGAAAAAGGCAAAAAAAGCTTTTCCTTTCCTCTGCAGCATTTTGTAAAGGAAGAGCACGTTTGTTTACAGGGGAACAAGAGATCTAGGCCTAAAAGAAAAACACACCTTTGTTACTTGAGGTGCTACAAACTCTGTGACTGCAGTGCTGTGAGTGGAGGGTTCATGAACTTGCTGCTGGGGGTTCCTGTGGGGTGTGGACCACTCTGGTTTCAGTGTAGCTGGAGCAGGGGCTGGCAGTTACTAAAGTGTCCCTTGGTTTTGGATCAAAGGCAGGTTTAAATAAGGGATAAATTACACCATAGCTCAGTGTCGCCCTGCTTTGGAAAGCAGGTAAGATATGTTAAAGAACAGCACACAGTGGTGTCCTGGGAGACTGGAAAATACCATCTGCTGCCTTTCAGACATTATTTAAGGAAAAGTTCCTAGAAGATTCTCAGTGTGTTTAATTAATTGCCAGTTTCATGATTTTGAAGTAGGTTTCACAAAGGTCATTTGCAGTTTTAATCCCAGCCCTGCCTCTGCTGTCAGGCTAGAGCTGCTTCTGGGGTTCAGAAGGGCAGAAAGGAAATAAAACACCATAATGAAGAACATTAATTTACTGGGCTGTCATCTCCTCTCTCCATTCCTTCCCTCCCTCAGACTCTGGGAGCCAGACAGCACCAGGAATCCAGCAGTGCTGTGCACTTGTGCTTGGATATATCCACACAAACACACCATGGCTGGCTCCTGGGCAGGGACAACACAATTCCAACTGGGACAGAGGCAAAAATCAGTGATTTCCTGCACCACCTCAAATTCAGACTCCCAAAAATATTCTCTATTTTTAAATTATGGACTGACACACTTCTGTGAACTGAGAAACCTGGAGCACACATGGCCACTGGGGCCAGGCAGCCTGGCAGGGGATACTTAGCAAGTTGTCAAATTTTGAAATATTTGCATAAAATACTTAAAGACAGAAGAAATGTTTTCACATTTGGATATGTTGAGGTACAGAGGTTATGTGCTGTGGCAGACACAGCTGCTTTTGCACTGGCACTCTTCTAACTTCCTTTTTTTTTGTTAATAAGCACAGAAATCTTTAGTGAAATTGCATCTGGAGTTACTGAGAAATGCTGCTGCAAACAAGACCTCAAAGATGACAGGAAAATTCTGCAGGAAACTTAACAATGAATTACTAACTCAGAAACAAAGGATAATATTTTAACCACTAATGCCCTAAAATAACATCAAACATATATATTAATGGCATAGTGACAACTAAAAGAAGTAACTATTAAGTTTCAAATTCCTTCCAAAACATAAAGTGACAAAGACCTTGTAGAGTTACACGTAACAAGCTTGGATGCCCACAACTACTACTGGTTTAGCAGACTAAAAAAAAAGAAAAACAAAACATATTGCACAACAGTTGATATGGGAACAGAGAACGTTGGGCTTGCACCCCGTTACCAGGACAAACCTTCTTCCTGCTGGGAGCAGTTCCTGGAGCCTGGGGAGCCTCAGCCAGCAGGATCCCAGCATGGGGAGGCTCCAGAGGGATGGAGATGCTGCAGTGGTGTCAGAGCAGGATCTGAAAGCAGAACGTGGCCCCAAGGAAACATCTACAGAGCTGGGACATGAGAGTGGCTCGACAGCTACTTGCAACATGCTATTATCCATAACTACACTGGCAACACAGGCACAAAATAAGGCAGTGGGTTAAATTAATCATAAAATTGTTAGAAAACATGCAAAAATAATACTGAGTTTAAAAAAAAAAAAGTTTCTTGCCCCTTGAAGTTTTTTTTTTTCCTCGTAAAAATGCGCATAGTTCCACACCTAGATGTTGAAATCCAACCTTAAAAAAAAGCCCCAGAGTAAAAAGCGCCGGGTGGCTCAGTTGTTGTTCTCTTTGGTTGTGATGGTGACCAGCTGCTTGGCCGCCTTGGCGATGTCGTAGGCGCACTGGATGACCTGCTGTGTCACCAGCTGCATGTCGGGCGCGGGGCTGGGCTCGGCGGGCAGCGCCTTCCTGCACTCCGACTGCAGCCTGTAGGCGCTGGACGTCAGCAGCCGCAGCGAAGTCCTCACCAGCTCCGACTTGGGCTTCTGCCAAGGGAAAAACAGACGCTGCAACAGGCACAACGACACAAGCTTTTAATTAGCCGGCAGTGCTCACAAGGGTGCTTTGATGTGGCCGAGCCCTGATTCCCCTCGTGGCAGCGGGCGGAATTTCTCTGTCTCTGCCCTCTCGGGAGATGCCCAAGGGCTGCCAGGCAGCAGGCAGGGTTATTGCTCCGTGCCCTGCCTTAGGAAGTTACTCATGAACATTTCTGGTGGCTGTTTACTGTCCCAGCCCACGCCTTGTCACAGCATGTCCAGGATGATGGGAGCAGCCGTGGCTCTTCCCTTGCAGTTTTGGAGAGGTGGGTAAATGTNAAGGAACAGCCCTCCCAAAATACCCTTCAAAAAAAATAAGCCCCCCGAGGAAAAACGTCTCTGGCACAGCCCTCCCGAAGAACAGCTCCAAAACCCCTCCCATGAACAGCTCTCCTAGGACACAGTTTCAAAACAGCCTCCCAGGAGCGGCTCCAAAACAGCTCCCCTAGGAAAAAAAAAACCCGAATTTCCCTACCCAAAACAGCCCAGCCCCAAAACACCTTCCCTAAAACAACCTCCCCAAACACTCTTTCAGCCCCAAATGAGGCTCCCAGGCCACGGGTACTGTCAGTTTTTATTAATTGCTGCTCCTGGGGCTCATAAGGCACCGCAAACACCACGGGGACAGTCCCTGGTTTCTGAATCCCAGCACTGGGGCTTGATCCCAGGCCAGCACTTGGAGGAGTTGGGATCACCCAGGAAAGTCATCAGCTCCTCCTCCACGGGCATCATTCCGGACAATCCAGTGCCAATCAACACGAGGTGCCCGTCGGTGGGTTCCAGGCACAGCCCGAGTGCCACTTCATTCATCAGCAGGACATTTCATTCCCTGCCCCACTGGAGACAGGAATCCAGGGCTTGGGACTAGAAACACTTGTTCTTCCTCTTGGGAAATCCAAGGGTGACACCCACAATTGTTTTATTGCCGTATTCTTAATAGAAAGTTAATTACTGTTAATTTTTTGGTTAGAAAAGACATTATCCACTGCAGATCCAGAGAGGAATCAAAGTCACCGGAGAGCTGGGAGCCACCCCAGCTGCCTCAGTGATGAAGACATAGGGAACACCCATCACACGTTATTTAATCTGTGCCAATCCTGTGCCAGCTTTAGGCTTTGTAGCTCAGCTCAGCGTTCATCTTTGTGTACATCTCATAAATTGCATCCAGGATTGGAGTGACCCTGGCGAGAAACTGGTGGATTTTTTCTATGCTTTCCTCTTCCTTGACTTCTTTGCCCTTCTCCAAAGCCTTCAGCAAATCTGATTTGTAGGGAAGAGCATAGACGGAGCCCTATAAAACAGGGAGAGGGTGTTTGACTCCCACAAACCCAGCAGAGACCGTGGGTGGGGTTATTCTTATGTGCCAATGTTGTGGGCTCTCCAGACACTTGTCAGTGCATGGGAACAGCCTTAGGGATGGTGACTGGGTGCTTGGAGAGGGAGGGGATGCTCACCGTGAAGAGCTTCTGCAGCATCCAGCCGTGGTATTTCTTCAGCGCGATCTCGTAAGCCTTCAAGGCGTTCACTCGGATGAGGTTGGGATGCTCCTCATCCCTCTCGCCGTCAGAGATGCTCTGCAGCAACACCAGAATGAATTTCAGACCCCTGGGAGAAGAGCAGAGATGTTGGGCTCAGGGAAGTGGGTGCTGCTTCCCAGATTCCAGCCTGGTGTTTCCAAGTGTCTGTCACTGCCCCAGTGTGTCCATCCAGGGAAGAGAGAGAGAGAAGGGCAGGATGGAGCCCCCAGGGCAGGATGGAACCCCCAGGTGAGGCCAGGGCTCAGGGCTCAGCTGGGCAGGTGCAGCCCCATGGATCCTCCAAGCCCTGACCTGTCCAATTTGTGGGCTCATGCTCTGAGCTTGAATTCCCCTGTGCATTCCCAGGGTGGAGATTTGAGGAGGGGGTTCCCAACAGCTGTGCTCCCCAAATACAGCACCCCACTCCCAGCTGCCCAGCCCCAGCCCACAGGGCCCAGCCCAGCCCACGCAGGCTCCATTTGGAGCTCTCCAGCTCCCCACATGCCGGGACAGAGCCACAGCAGCTCCCGACGCCGTGAATCACCTTTTCAACCACATCAGCGCCAGCGTCGCGCCTATCTTGGGCCAGGCCGAGCCGTGCAGCTCCTTCTCCACCTCCAGGATGTTCTGCAGAGTTTTGAACTTGGCAGGGTTGGAGTCATAAACCGCCCGGATTTTCTGAGGGCAGAAAAGGGGATTGGCACCTGGGAGCAGGGACCTTGAGCAGGAGCTCTGGGGATAAACTGTGACTGGGTGAGCCACTGCTGAGCCCAAAGTCCCCACAGGAAGAAAAGCCTTTTGAAACACCTCCAGTCCCACAGCATCCCTCCCCAGGGATTCTCCTCTCTGAGCCCTCCTGAGTCCCTTCCTACCTTGATATTTCCAGTCAGGTCTGCTTTGACTGGCGAGTAAACGATGGGAGTACCCAGGCAATCTGTGCAGACAACGGAGGGAGGACAATTAGACATTGGTGACACAGGGGACACCACACACTTCCCATAACCAACAAGTTTCACTTTGAGCACAGCCCGGGCACTGAGACTAGAAAGGGATCTCTGAGCTTCTCTGAGCTTCATACACGGCTGTTGGCCCTTGGGACAGCCCTGCCACCTACTGCAGCCCCACCAGTGACCTCCAATCCCCGTGGCTGCGGGACACAGCCCTGGCAGAACATCCTGGAACAGCCTGACCGGCACCGGACACTGCCCGTCCGCAGCCCCACGTCCTGCCCTTCCGNCGGGGGGGCAGGAACAGCGGCTGGGACAAGAAATTACGGGTTTAGGTTACCCAGAGGGACGTGGAGATGAAGGAGAGGCGTGCCAGCAGAGCGCTGTACCGTGTCACCGCGTCCTGCCCGCCACGTCCGCGGCACGGACAGGTGACTGACCCCAGGCACTCCCCCAGCCCCGCTTCCCACCAAAACCCTCCGGAGAAACCCTGAGCAGCGTCAGGGCTCAGCACGGCTCCTGCCCGCGGGGAGCTCAGCCCTCCCGGGACGGAAAAAGCAGCGGGAAACGTGTCATTTAGTGCTGGGCTGAAGCTCTGTGCGACAACCACAGGGGCAGGCTGGGCCCTGTCGGGAGGGCAGCCCGGCCGGGAGAGGGCTCGAATGAGGCACAGGGTGCTGGCAGCCACACGGTGGGCACGGGGGATGAAGTGGCAAACAGCCCCAAACCCTGTAGCGACAGGGAGGACTGAGGCAGCAGCCCCCTCTCCCTGCCACCCTTGGGGACACCCAGTGGGGCTGGGGGACACCCAGGACAGTGCAGCTCTAGGGGACACAGAGCTGACAGATTCTCCTCTTTGCTGACTTTCCTGCCATCCCCGTCTCTGCAAGAAATTCCACAAGCACCTGCCAAAGCCCGCAGGTCCCACATCCCGACCCCAGGCAAACAGGAGCCCTCGCATGGCCGGCTTGACCTTGGACAAGGGAATTGCCAAGCAATTCCCTGCGGGCTGGGAATGGGGATGGAGCACCTGACCTGTCCCAGCTGTGCTGGAACCCGAAAAATGCGGCTTTAGGGAAAACCTGGATGTGACACGGGCTGTCCCACACCTGCTGTCACCAGCCAGGACTGAAGCTTGTGTGGGGAATGAGGGACTCAGGGCTGGTGCCGTCAGCCCCGGTGCTGCCAGGAAAGGTGCTGTCACAGGGGTTTGATTTGGCTCCTGGGTTATTTGGGTTTGGATGTTTCAAACTTCCTCACCTCATGGAATAACTGAGTCAAGGCACAGCTCTTGCATCCAACACAAACCCCACCTGTGCTCCCACCTCTTCCCAGCATCCCAACCTCCCAGTTGGACCAGCGTCCCCAGTCAGTGCCCACTCCTGCCCACCACGGGGATGTCACCAACGCCGGGACGTGCGGGGACATCCACGGGTGGGTGGCAGGGAGGGTGTCCCATGGCATTAAAGGGTGATTAAGGGTGGGAGTGAATCACTGAAACCACATCGAGTTCTAGTCGGAAATCCTCATCCTGAGTGATGTAGCTGCTTCCCAAAATCATCCTCACTGCTGTGCTCACCTCGGCAACAGCCGGGAGCTGGGTGTGGGCAGCATGGGGGGCTCGATGCCGGTGGGAGCCCCCTCCTCAAAACCCACCCAGCACCTCAATCTCGGATCATGAGTCCCCAGGCTGTCCGGACATTGCCGAGGCATCCATGAGGGTCCACCTTGCCCTGCCCAGCTCAGCCCTCGACCTGGGGTCTCCATCCTGCCCCGCACGCCGTGTGCTCNTTTACTGTCCCAGCCCACGCCTTGTCACAGCATGTCCAGGATGATGGGAGCAGCCGTGGCTCTTCCCTTGCAGTTTTGGAGAGGTGGGTAAATGTCGCAGACAGCTTTTCATTAAAATCCTTTCTTAGGATTTTTCCTGCTGGAGCTGAGAAGTTTCAACAACAAATGTAAATAATGG